TTAGTGCGTTCTTGGCTAAGGGACACATTGTGAAATTGAAAATGGAACTGTGGCAACTCCAGGTGTTGCTTCAGTGCAAATTGACTTCAGGTACCTTTGAAAAGGGTGAGAAGATTTTTAAAAAATCAACTGGTCAAATAAAGAAAAAATACCAAGGGCTCAGTCTAATGCTCCCCACGGCAACACATAAATACATATCTGAAAATTCCATAAGTACGTATCACCTTCCATTCCCAACACACACACACACACACACTCTTTAGAAAAGACCCAGTTCTGTTTCCAGCTCAAGCCCCACTTCGGATGGAGCCTGTGACTACTCCAAGGGCTCCCCTGTAATTCTTACTGTTGTTTAGACTCTGCTTGTTGGCCGTGGGCCTTTCTGTGTCACCCACTAGGAACAGAGGATGTGGTACAGGACCCTGAGCAAGGCAGAGCAAACAAGTTAAATGAATGACTTAAAAAAAAAAGAAAAAAAGCAATAGACCCACTCTGGGAGGCAGAGGCAGGTGGATTGCTTGAGCTCAGGAGCTGGAGACCAGCCTGAGCCAGAGCAAGACCCCATCTCTACCAAAACCAGAAACACTAGCTGGTTGTTGTGATGGGCACCTGTAGTCCCAGCTACTTGGAAAGCTGAGGCAAGGTTCACTCAAGCCCAAGAGTTTAAGATTGCTGCGAGGTATGACTCCAGGGCACTCTACCCAAGTGAGACTCTGTCACTCTGTCTCAAAAAAGAAAAAAAAAAAAGGCAATAGACCTTGAGGGAGCTGCATTTAGAAGCAGAGACAGCCTTTGGTTCCTAACAGGAAACCACCAGGATGCAAGAAGTTCTGGCTAAGAAAGCGCCAGACAAGCCCCAGAGGATGGAATGAAGAAATCATTATGCAAAGTAATCAAGTAACCCATAATCTGTATTCTCCTTTCCTTTCGACATTGGTCAGATGTATCCAATTTTAGAAACATGTGAGGTAAGAACATTCTTTTGGAATACTTTGACAGCATTAACATTACGTTTGGAAAGAGCTTAGTATTTCGAGACCCATTGCAATACCTCAGGGGAAATTTAGCAAGGGGTTGTGCTATTTTGTAACATATATAGACTATAATTAGGCATAATTCATGTTTATATTGTTATAAAATGCTGCTCAAAGAAAGTATGACAACTAGCTTTTCAGATCCTGGGCAGAAGCAATTTATGATAAGATTGAACTCTGTCCTCTCTTTGCCACAACCATTGGTATCTGGATCATGGGGTGCAGCAATGGCACCAGCCATCCAGGGCATTTAATTTCAGCTCCTAGCTTTTATCTTTGCCGGTTATCCTACATACGAATGCATCATTTCTGTCCACATTAATTTATAATACCAAGCAACTATTTCTAGCTGCTAAGAATTTAATTTGATTGAAACACTTAGTCAATGGTCATTTTCCCACATGGGCATCTTTCAATTGAACTAGTAAATATACAGTCATCCATTGTGAAACTTCCCAACCGCTGCTAGGGAAGTTCCTAATCAAACCTTTGCTCTTTCTTAGTACCCATCATATACTTGATTATAATCACTATTCTTATTATTTTGAGATAGGGTCTTACTCTGTTGCCTGGGCTAGAGTGCAGTGGCATCATCATTGTTCACAGCAACCTCGAACTCCTGGGTGCAAGCAATCCTCCTGCCTTAGTTTTCTGAGTACTGGGACTACAGGCATGCACCACCAAGCCTTGTCAATTTTTCTGTTTTTGTAGAGACAGGGTCTCACTCTTGCTCTGGCTGGTCTCAAATTCCTAGTCTCAAGCAATCCTCTCGCCTCAGCCTCCCAAAGTACTAGGACTACAAGTATGCCTGGTCTGACAATAAACTTCAGTACTTGAAAAATTTCTTATTTTCAAATATTTCATTCTGAAATATACCACTTAAAAATTAAAGCAATAATAATGCTGGTTGTGAAAAGTAACATTAATACCGTAAACAGAATTTCAGCTGAGCAGCAACAATAATTAATTTTATTAATTTAAATTAGTAATTAACACAATTAAAGAATATCCTGGAAAAATTTTGACTTGCTAACATTAAGGGAAATAACAGGTTAAATTGAATTTGTTGTTAAACCACCAGGGACCTGTTTTTATAGAAAGAAAAATGTGTGCTTTGCCTTTAAATTGTAGGTTTGAGAATATTTTAGCATAGATTTCTTGTTAACTGAGTTTTGGGTTTATTTCTAAAATTAATCTTTAAAACTAAAATTAGAAAGCAAAACACCAATTCCTGTTGACTTAGAGACCAGCAGGTATGAACTTAGGGCCTAGACTTTGCAAATGTTCCTTTAGCTGATTCTTGAGAATCATAGTGACCGGTTCAGTATCTCTCTTTCCGAGACGGAGCTAACAAACCCTGAGAGGAGCACATTTCTAATTGGAGCAGCTTCTTTGGGAGGCCTGTGTCTAATCATTCCCACCCCTTCTCTCCCAGGTCACAGAAAGGGCAGTGAGTCAAAAAGTGGCCAGGACAGGGGATGGGCCCATGCAGATGTGGACAGATTTGCCGTGTTGTGTGACATGTGGACCTGGGAAGCAGCTCTTCTGGAAAACAAGCGGCAGGTATTTTTGTCTAAAGAGGAGACATGGGTTAAAAACTATTCTTAATAAAGTCCAGTACCTTTTTGTTTTTGTTTCTGTTAAATCCAGCGGGACTTTTAGAAAGGCTCTCAATAAAGCCAATCGTTATTTTATTTAAATAATCTCAGCTAATTATAAGGTTGTGATAAATTTTATTTTCTTACCTGTGGTTTCTCATAACAAAAAAGAAGATGTGGAGGGCACTGTTTTATCCTGGGAGTGTAATTTGTTAGAGGGCTTTCTTACAATCTGTACGACTTTAGTGAGAATGGATAATGATTCCATTTCCATTCACTGTGCAGTCACAGGAACAAGCCTCACATATAAACCGACAGACCTGATCATGGCCTTTAGACACGGACAAACTGACTGACCTGCTCTTGTTGGGTGGGTAGAAGTAGTTGGGCAAGGATTGCAGAGTGCAGTAAGTTATGAGAGTGAATCTAAAGCAATGAAACAGGTTATTAAGTCATTGCTGTATCATGAAAGGTTCGTATCCCAATGATACGTGAAACACTGTAGGTGCTCTGCTCTTTGTGTCCTAAGCATGCGTGATCAGCTTTTCTGATGATCACCAATTACTAGGAGTTTTTTCATGAAACATTATGTACTTACTCTGCCAGGTACTGTTCCAGGCATTAGGGACATACAGATAAATGAGAGAAGATGTTTTCTATCTTTAAGGAATTTGTAGTCTATAAAAGTTGATCTAATATCTAAGTAAAAATTATCACCTAAAGGCTAACAGCCTACAGTTAAGGCCTATTCAAGAGCTACAGGGACCCCACAGAGAGAGGGATTTGTGTTGGTGGGGTGGGGATGTTGGGACAAAGGAAATGCTAGGGTGTCTTCCCACAGAAATAGATATTTAATCCTGTTGTCTGGCAGAGAAGAAGAGATTCTTAAGCAGGGGAAACAGCATTAGTGGTGTCAGAGAGGTAGAAATGGAAATGGCCAGTTTGGGGAGGGTAAGAAGACTGATGTGGCAGGGAGGACAAGGCATGATGGAACGAAGCTACTTGTTTGGGGTGCAGCCTGGGAAGAGCCTGCTGATCATTTGAGAGTTTATCTAACAGCAGAGAAGAGCAATTAGTGAGTTACCATAGTGGAGAAATGTAGCATAACTGTGTTTCCAACAGCGACCTTGGGTGCCAGTGTGGTGAATGGACTGGATTAGAGAGGCCCCTGGGAAAAGTGCAGTTATTGCAAAAGTGACCTGAAGAGTTAGGCGGAGACCTGGACTAAGGATGTGGCAGCAGGAATAGGAAGGAGAAGCAGAATGGAGAACACATTTCAGAAGTGGGAAAAAAGGCAGGATTTGAAGTGGCCCTGGATGTTGGAGTGAGAGAATATGGGTGGAATTAAAATGACTTCCTCAGGGTCAAGGAAGAGGCTATGCAGGAGGAGGAAGAGAGTCTTTAGGATGAGACGATATTGACCTGGGGACAACAAAGCTTGTGGATGGCACATGCTGCTAAAACCCAGGTGTGAGTGTTTGGTCTGAAGCTCAGGAGCAGGTATGAGCTGAGCTGTGAATGTGGAAGTTGAACCACGTAATGAATGAAAACAGTGGGGAAACACCTGCATTTAAGGGGCAAGTCATGGGACAGGAAGGAGCAGTTACATAGACTGGAGAAGAACAAAGGAGAAATAGTATTGTGAAAGCTGATGGGAAAGAAGTTCTAATTAGGAGAGGGTGGTTACAAGTGTGGAGTGCCATGAAACAAGAAAGACGACTCCTAAATGCCAAGCAGACTGTCAGGCGGTCATGGGCAGCTTGGTAGAACTCTCTGAGAAGAGTGACGGGGGTGGAAACACAGCGAGAGTGCACTGTGATGTGGTCAGGAGATGGGGATGTGGGAACATTTCCTTGAATTGTTGTTCTAGGAGAATAGATGGTTCACCCTTCCATCTACTCTCTGGTCAGTTGCTCATAGAGATCTAGGTCACCCAGTGTTTGGAAAACTACTAGCTGGGCTGAAAGGGTGCAAGCCTTGGACTTTGAAAAACATGGTCCTCTTTTCAAAGATAACTGGTCTCTGCAGGCTTGTCTGCAACCTCAGTCCGCCAATTAGAACCTTACTTTTATCAACTCAGTACATGAAAGATTGAGACTCATGGAGTACGGAATATGAAGAAGATAGGATCCCCAAGCGGCAGGTGTATTGGGCCAGGCATGAATGTTAAACAGCCTCTCTTTTCTGTATTCTCTCTCTCCCCACCTCCCCTTTCCATAGACCTCCTATGGAGGGTCTGGGCAGGATTGAATGGCAAGAGAATAAAAGGGCAGAAAGGGTCTGAAAAACTGATTTCTCCATACTTTAGCCTAGATTTATTTGGTGCTCAGCATCAAATAAAGTGGACTAGGGCTGTCCACTAATTTCTTCTATGGTAAATAAAACTATTTTAATTTAAAAACAATGGTTGAAAATCTCTCCTTCCTTTCTACCCTGAGAATAAAGTCCCTATAGAAACTGAGCTATCTGTGCCAAAACTGTAAAATATGGCCTTCTAAGTCAGAAATTCTGTCAAAAGAACCTATTTGTAATGGATAAGCCAGATTTCTATCTAAAGTACAATTGATTTTCCCTGGTATGGATTCCACTGCCAAGTTCCTCAGCTGTTTTTGATTGTTAAGTATACTGGTATCACTAGAATTGAGAATTTCTTGAACATATTGGATTCTTTTAAATCCTTAAAATAACCCTGTTATGTAGGAAGGCTCATCAAATTAGAGCTGGTGTGAATTTAGGTGGATTAAGGGACTCGGAAAAGCCAGGTATCAGCTGCTCCGGCTCCAAAGTGATGCTCTACCATCTGCTAATTCTTAAAAGGACACATTTAAAGGATAATTTCAATTAGTGCATGCAGTACTAAAAAATTTTATATGCATAATTCCTTTGAAGAGAAATAAAAACGAAATTTCTGTGACAAGTTTGGTCTAGCAATGATTTTCTGTTTTGCACTTTCATTTGACCCAAAATAGTTTTTTTTAAAAAAGGTTTTGGTTTCTTTTCTTTTCTTTTTTTTTTTTTTAGATAGAGTCTTGCTTTGTCAGCCTGGGTAGAATGCTGTGGCATCATAGCTCACAGCATCCTCCAACTCCTGGGCTCAGGAGATCCTCTTCCCTCAACCTCCTGCGTAGCTGGAATTACAAGCTCCTGTCACAACACCCAGCTAATTTTCCTATTTTTAGTAGAGACAGGGTCTTGCTCTTGCTCAGGCTGGTCTCGAACTCCTGAGCTCAGGTGATCCACCTGTCTGGGCCTCCCAGGGTGCTAGGATTACAGGCATGAGCCACTTCGCCTGGCCTTAAAAAGTGGTTTAAATCCCAGAAAAAACAACAACAACAAAAAGTTTGAAGTAAAAATGATATAAACACAGCAAGGCCTGAGGTTATTTATTTTGCCTGTTTTCCTCTTCTCTCCAGTCTGGGACGCCTGCTATCAGCATGCCCCACGTGTTACTGTGCCTGAGAGTGGGCCCTTGACACACAGGAGTGACATTTGACAGTCTGGGAAGACTTCTTATACAAATATCAGCCCAGAGTTTCAATGGAAATGGGCCAGTTAGCAAACAGATAATAAATAAAACCCATGAGGCAGAAAGATCACGGTCCCACCCCTGTTGGGAAAGAATTCGTAATAAAAATTATGCAACTGTCCATCTGAGAGCTGCTGGAGGTTGGGCCCAAAGCTTGAAGAAGCTTCATCAACTTAAAAAGAGAGCGCTACTTTTTTCTTCTCAACCGCTGAGGTTACCAGATAAAATATAGCAGTATTCGTGACATATTAAAACACCGTTTATTACCTGTCTGAAATTCAGAATTGACTGACAGTAAAACTGTCCTACCTTTTTATGGATTAACTCTGACAACCCCATCAACAATGACAGAGAGCACAGCACTTCAGTGTGAGGCTGTGCAGGCTGGCGTCACCAAACTGGGCTCAGCCGCGAGAACCCTCCCTCCCCCTAACTCTCTGCAAACTTCCTCTGCCAAATAACCAAACAATTGGGATCTTTGTACAAAAACAGGTCAAGAAAGTATAAATACTATAAACCAGCTCCTGGGATTGCTCTGACCCAGCCCAAAAGGTTCAGGTTAGTCCAGACTGAGTTAGGGAAGTAGTTGTTTGTTTCCCAATCTCCACCTGGGGCTAGTGAGTGACACCCTTCCTACTCCATCTATTCCAGACAGTCCTCCATTCCTGCTTTCTCTTTTGCTATTTAATAATTGTTAAGTGAGAGTAGAGTTCCAGTATACAGAACAAGGTAATTTAGATCATCCTGCTTGCTTCGTTTTCCTCAGGGCTCCCTTAAGGCAAGGGGACCTCCACCTTCCCTCACCCCATGCTCTTGAAGTGGGACTTTCTAACCTCTGAAACATCTTCTGGGACTTGAACTTTCAGCCTCCTCTGGTGCTTTCCCTTTTCACACTAAGGTGGATCTAAGGTTCCTTATTCCGATGTTGCCCAAAGGTCATCCTACAAAACTGGGTGCTAAATAAAGTACCTGAGGCTCTTCCTTCTTGAGCCTTAGCATTGGGCCCTCTCAAAAAAGTAGCATTTGATTCAGCCGTAAAAATAGGTGGAGACCTTTCGTCTTTTGTATTAACCTGGATGGAGTTGAAACACATTCTTCCCAATAAAGTAACACAAGAACGGAAAAGCAAGTATCCAGTGTACTCAATAGAACAGGAAGCCAGTAGCCGATCGGACACGCCCACACAAGAGAAAAAATGGAACTCAGTTCCAGATGGGGGAGGAGACAGAGGGAGGAGGTGAAAGGGGAGGGGGATGGGGATGGGCGTGCTCCCACTTAATTAAACGGGCACAATGTAAGGTATAAGGCACACCTGGGGAGGGGGGGATACACCTACAACAGGGACGACTCCTAACAAATACAAACGTTGTAACCTAATTCTTGGTATCCTCAAATTCATCTTAAATAAAAATAATAATAATAAAGCAGCCTTTGATCCCTGATGTGCTCTTCATTCTCCAATGTTCAGCTCTCCCGTGCAGAGGAGGAAAATCTTTCCCTCTACCTTCCTAGCTTCAGTGTCTGGGCCATGAAAACTAAACGTACCAAAGACAGATTAACAGGACAAAGGGTTTATTACGTCCCCACAGTGATCAGGGCTCCTTATCTTGCTCTAGGGTCCGGTCTGGTTTTCAAACCCAGATCTCAGAAGGGCTTTCTGTGCTTAGCATCAGGACTACTCACACACAAACAGAACTTACATGCAGAACAGACATTCCTTCAGCTCGCAGACAAATGTCAAAGCAAAATAAAAAGGCATCTCTTTCTGAATCCCCACACTAAGAATGCTCTTCAGCTGTTCGTGTCTGAAAGTTTGCTTCATTTTTTAGAAAAGACATGTGAACTCCTCTAAAACAGAGGCTCCATCGGGCCCACGCACACTTCATGCTTTGAGAGCAGGGTGTATTTCCACAGCCCTTCCCAGAGGAGTCCAGTCTGGGATAAATCATTTTGTATCTATGCAGCACGTTTACCCGCAGCCTTCCATTCTGCCATCCCTGCCATTTTTATGGAGATGAAATTGGGGCAAGCTATTTAAGAGACGGGGTCAGCAATAGTGCTGAGGGTGTGGCTTTGGTGATGGAACAACAGAACAAGGAGAATAGGTCCTTGAAGAAAGGAGATAAAATATATTGGATGAACGTGGTATCTCACTGGAGCATATAATTATTACACATTTTCAGATATTACTACTATAAAATGCTTGTAATATTTAGATAAGTTAATATTTTTATAAACATTATTTCATTATGAAGTTGTGATTTCTTTCAAGTGCATTATTTGAAGTTATTTTATGTCCAAGTGTATATAAGAATGTGTTTGAATGTGTACTTCTAATATTCCTTGTTTCTTGCAAAGCACATGCTTGATTGTGTAATTATGTTGAGAAAAATATGATTCC